CATTGTTTCTATGCATCTCAGCTTTGAACTGCCTCTTTTCAGACCACTCCTTCTAAGATTTAACCATATTCAAGAGAGTAAATAATCTTAACTATCCTGTAATCCAATATTTTGCTTACAAGAAACTGCAAAACTGTTAGTCTCCAGAGCATCTGAGATCTTGCTACCTGGTATATGTCATCAGTTTAGCTCAAATAAACTCTTGTAAAAATTATCTACATGTTTGGACATTTCTTACATCGACAGCTTCAATATATAAATTGGTGTGGGAGGCACGAACATTCAGCTCATAACATTTACTTTCTAGGTCACCCATCAGCAATCACCAAATTAACCAATATTTCTTCAGTAAATATCTCTTAGCTGTGTCTCTTCCTTTTTCTCTACATTTATCATCCTATATTCAAAACTCTTCCTACTTTAAACTAGCAATAATAACTGTCACTATCACTTATTGAGGTTCCAGGCTAAATTTTTTTCCATATTTTATTTGTTCTAATCCTTTTTAAAACTGTGAGGAAACTCGTAGTTACAAAGCTAGCGAGAGAGAAAGATCAGACTTCAAAACCAGTGATCATCACCGCTATGCTCTACTGTCTCCATTTTCTCTTTTTTTCTAGTCCATCCTGCACTCAGTCCCCAAAATGACTTTCCTCATAAACATGTAGCACTTCTTTATCTGTTCAAGATCTTATAGTATCTGCCACTGTCTGCTTAATTTATTCTTTTATTTTTCAGTATCGATTTCAAGGTCATCTTCTGATCCTTTCTCATACTAATTGTATTCTCCAAGGAAACTCCTCCAGACCAGTTCTGTTGATCTTTTATGGATGTGGGTTACTTCTCTGTAACCAGAATTTTGCACCAAACTACCAGCCTCTGAGGATAAATGGAGTAACATTAATATACCAACTCATATGTCACTGACTCATTGGTCCTACATACCTATTAATTTAATCCCCTCCTCCCCATGCCCCCTGCCACTTCCAAATGTGTCTAGTAGGCTCCAAGGAATGTCTGACTTATATTCGGTAAATGAATTCACTCTTATCAGGTGTTGCCCCCTATGGGGCACAAAGAAACTTCCTCTACCTTCTAGGTTTTTTTGGCTGTTCTACTAATTAAATCTACATTAGACAGATTAGATGAACATGAGAAAATAACCAAATTTAATTACATGTGTACGTGTATAGGAATCCTACATATGTGAGAGAGTCAGAGACCCCACATATATCAAAGATTCATAAACAAAAAGAGAAAATGACATATACGTGACATTCTGAGCTAAGAATGAAGTAAAGAACCTTGAGGCTTCAGAGGGAAGATCACAGGATGTAAGAAGAGCAGATGTTCAGTAATTACAACTGGCCTATAGATAGTTCATAAGAAGTTATTTCTGGCCATAACTCATATTATGGGCAAAGCCCCAAATTTAAATTTTTAAGGGAGAGGTAAGAGTTTCCTTCATGTCTGCAGAGTCTCAAGTGCCTTTGACTCCAAATAATTCATATGCCAAAGTGGCATATCTTGGGCAAGCCTGTTCTGAATATTTTTGCCCCACTTGTACCACAGATCTTCTGATGAATGTTACCTCTGCTCTGCTGGATACCTCACCCTTTGTGGGCACCTAGGGCTGTTCCACTAAGCACTGGGGTCTCTTTTTTAATATCTTAGTACATTTTGCATATCACAACCCTGACGTGCTATAGCCTTCATTATGCCATAATGTGTGTCTCTGAATAGGATGGAGAATGTCTGTTTTCCCTTTGCATTATATTCTTTTGTTGGGAGGAGGGTTGTTGAAAATTGCACTTATGGAGTTCCAATGCTGTGCCGCCCTTTGTTGAGTAAGTTAGGCTAGAATGGAGATGCAATCTGAATGCCAGTCACTATGCTGAGGTTGGAATCATCTTTTCCCCAGAGACCTGTGCTCTGTTATTGCTTGGGTTCTCATTGTTTGGCCCCTTCTCTAGTTAAAAGCATCATTTCTCAGAAGAATTCATTCCATGTTCCCCCCACCCCCACCCAGATACACATCATCTAACTGCCAGCCACTCCCCACACATCTGATCCCCAGGAGTAGAAACCTTCTAGGCTTAGATTCTCCACTTGCCTACTTTTGCACATCTATTTGTCCCACTTGAAATACTTTTTTACCCTATAGTGATCTTCTTTAAGATGTCTTTCCTCAAGAACCTACCAAATCTAATTATTTCTTGTGTCCTGGTTTTTGCACTATGCCAGGTGGTTTACAATGACTATTCTGTGGTAACTGTTCTCCTGTTATATATAACTTTCACACTCTTCACTTCAATCTTTATGCACACAGTTACTAAAACAGTGCTTTGATAATGCCACTAATATTCAGTGGCTCCCATTTCTATAGAAAAAAAATTCAAACTGCTTAGCTTAGCATCCACAATCTGCCCTACCTACATGCCCAATCTGGTTTCCCATACTTCCACTAGAAGAGCCACTTCTCCAGAACCGCAGTCATGCAGCAATCCCTCTCCTGGTCTTTGCTTATGTTTTCTCTTTTCCTCTCCACTGGTTAAAATTTTAACTATCCATGACATGCATACATTAAAACATTTTCTGTGTCAGAAATTAATAAATGTATATAACACAATATATGTAAAGACCTTATCAGCACCTTGTATACAGTAGGCACTCGATAAATAGTAGCTGACATTATTCGTTCTCATCTTATTCTCACTGTTATTATTGCAAAAACTCTATGGTCACCTGGCTTCAAGGATGAATGACAGTCCCTGCCCTTACCAAGTTCAACTAAGAACAGAAGAGACTGAGATAGTAATAACTGATTACAATGAAATACAATAACTAAATAGGGAGGTCAGTGCTGAATTCTTCAGGGGCACAGAACAGGAAGGATAGACTTCCCTGAAGAAACAGTGAATTGGCCTTGAAGAGTGAATAGAAAAGT